AAACTCTCTGATGATCACGTTTATTATTTGCAACAGATCCAGTGAATGGAGGAGTAGTAGTAGTTTTTGGTTAAAAAGTTGCTCCCCAGTGGTTTTCGATAAATCCGTGGTAGAAAGTTTTCAAATGAACACCCGGTATATGTTTCATAAGTTTTCATCAACATCTTATTTTTGGCATTTTTATCCAAACTTTCCACCCACTATCGAACATTTAACTGCATTTATCGGGAGAGTTCTTACGAAAGCCTGTGAGGCTTATCAAAAAATTGAGACTTGTTCCTGCTAGGATACAAGTGCTTTATTAGGAACAGCTATGAATCACGAAAATATTAATATACTAAGTGACATATAAATCCGAACACCCAGTTTAAATGGTTTTATTTTAATAAAAGTTGGTGAATGTATTTATCTTACTGTAAATAACAAGTGAGAAATCTTTCAGCCTTATCAGTTGGACATTCCGGTTTTTATACTGCTTTTTTTTAATTCACTAACGTTCTAAAAATGAATATTTCAGCCGCAGTAAAGAATCAACGTTGGCGGATTTTGGTTCTTGAAATCCTTTACGATCGGTTACGATGCCTAGAGTACGGAGACCTGTACGATTTCGTCAACTTAGTGAGTTTGATCCTGGCCGTATAGTGGGACTTCGGGAAGCTGGACTTTGTTTTCGGGCAATTACAGTTAGAGTACAAAGAAGTGTAGACACTGTGGTTAGGTGTTGTCAGGCATGGCTTCTAGAAGGCCGTACGCAAAGAGCAAGGGGCACTGGACGCCGCCGTAGAACAAGAGACCGTGAAGATCGCCGCCTAAGATTATTGGCCTTAAGGGACTGTTTCTCCACTACCAGGTCCATTGCAAATGAATGGTTTGCAGAACACGGAAAACCTATTGGCATGCGAAGTGTTTACCGACGAATGAGAAGTTTTGGCTTGTTTTCATACCGGCCACACTGGGTCCTCCCTTTTAACTCGAGAACATCGACGTAATCGCCTTGAGTGGTGCAGACAACGGTCACTCTGGGATCAGGAATGGAACAGTATTGTCTTTAGTGACAAGTCTCGATTTTGTTTAGGCATGCACGATGGTCGTGCCAGGGTTAGAAGGCGACGTGGTGAAAGGAGGAATCCACAGTTTTTTGTTGAAAGACATGTTCATCACACTGTTAGAGTTATGGTTTGGGGTGCTATAGCTTATGGTTCCAGGTCACCTTTAATCTTCATCAGAGGTAACATGAACGCGCAGCGTTATATCCACGAAGTTCTAGAACCCCATCTTTTACCCTATCTTGACACCCGGGCAGATCCAACTTTCCAACAAGATAATGCCCGACCACATGTTGCAAGAGTCACAATAGACTTCTTTCAACATAATGATGTCACATTGTTACCATGACCACCAAGATCTCCCGACTTATCCCCAATTGAGCACGTGTGGGATATGATGGGTAGGAGATTGCTCAATTTGCAACGTCCTCCTCAGACTCTAGAAGCACTTCGAGAGGAGTTGGTGGTTGCCTGAAATGAGATACCACAGGAGGACATTGACCACCTGATCAGAAGCATGCCTAGGCGCGTTGGAGAATGCGTAGCACATCAGGGTGCATCCACACATTATTAAAGGTCAAAGGGCTTTAAAGCAGTGCAATCATTTTGAAATTTTTATCATTTACTTATTATGCTCCATTAAGTACTTATACAAAATTTTATCAAAATAAAACCATTTAAACTGGGTGTTCGGATTTATATGTCACTTAGTATACTTGAATCATTTTTAAGATAGTGTTCAAGTAATGTTCATTGAGTTTTTTCTATGAGAATATGTTATTGTAACTGTAGACTTATCGACCAGTTCTGGATGTACGAAATTCGACAAGGTTAAGATGGAAGGCTGGAGTCAGGCGGGCCTGTGTTGCAGGCACATTGCGCGGCGGTATAATGGAGTAAATCTCTGAGGAGGAATGCTCCTTGGCGTAGAGATAGAAAAGAGCTAGATCGCCGACGTCCTACCGGTACGAATGGGTCCCGAGACTGTCCATTTGAGAGGGCTCATCGATCAGTCGAACAGCATCGAACATGGATAATGTAGTCGGGGTGGCAGAGCCCTTAACATGTGAGCTGTACTTGAGGCTAGATCTCATATGAGCCTTGTACAAAGTGGGGAGGTCGTGTAGAGAAAGTACTTCCAAGCTCTAAACAAATAGTCTAGCTTTTTTCCAGCAGCTGCCGCGATTGGCAAGATGTTGTTCGTCCGTGTTTTGGAAGCATTAAGCTGTACCAGATTGCTGCGACTCCAAGTAGTGACGACCTCTAGATCTCTCGTTAGAGAGGATGTCGCTGATAGTCTTCTTTTCTCCAGCTCACTAGCAGAGATCGGCTTGTCACTCTGAATTCCTGCATGTAGACTGCTGTTGTCAGCAAAGCAGTGGATTGGATTGACCATACAGGAAAGGCAAGACCGATCTCTGGGAACACTCGTTGACGTTGTGGGATAAAGAGAAGAACCCTTCAATTACGACGGATAACTTGCGACCAGAGAGGAAGTCAGCGACCCATTTGCACCGACACGGACCGCACCATAAGACTGCATGAGTTCACTCCCACTTTCATTTTCATGGAAGTTATTACTAAGTATAAGTAGATCACAACGTTAGTTTTGAAATATATGGATGATTTACTATGAAACCTTGTTGATGTTGATGAAACAAATTCAATAATAATGATTAGTTCTGCCCCCATTAGCTACTCCAATGAATTGAGTATTGATATTTTGAATTTTCAGAAAATCCGTGCACCAGATGGAAAATACACTACCATGAGAGGAAGAAAGGATATCAACAAGTTAGGCACAATCATCAGGTGGAATGATGAACCTTATCTAGAGAAGATATGGGGAAGGGCGGTTTCGGTTAACAACGATACCTGTAATAGAGTCAGGGGCACAGATTCCACTTTGTATCCACCACATATCACGGAAAATGGAGTGTTTGAGATATTTTCTACTGATGTTTGTAGGTAAGTACACGATATTTCCAATTCAATCACTGCGACAAATCATTGAAGTCCAACATTTTGCTCGAAAAGGAGGTTGATTCGAATTTCTACTTTGCTACCTGGTATCTTTTATATGGGTGCCGCCATATTTAAACGAAATGAAGTTTTTCACAATACAGCGTTCAAACTCTTTTCACTAGAGAATGAGAAAAATTAGAAGAAAAGTAAAATAAAACATATAGAGCCGTACTCATAATACAAACGATATCTTTGTACTTGCAAATTTTGAAGGAAATCCTCCAGATGGTATTTATAATAATTTGAAGTAAATACTTTGGCTTTTTGAGTATAAGCATATCCTTTAAAGCAGTGACATAAGTAAAAGGATATTCATAATCTTCACCTTATACTTAGCATAGGAAGCATATCCTTCAGAAATTCTGAGTGTGGTCAGTAGCAGACTCAACTTCGTAATGAAAGGTGGTCAAACGATGATGGCGAAATTGTGGATTTTAGGGATGTTAAAACGTACAAACCTCGTTTACCTTCACTTGGTCGTGACTTCAAAAAATTATATCGGTTCGACGAAGCAAATGTACAATGGCCTGCGGACAGATTTTTAGTTGAGAATGAGGAAACTCGGGGAGGAGGAGTACTTTCATGTATTCATAAAATGAAGATATGTCTACGCTATCTCGGTGACCCTGGATATCAACATGGTATTGGTCAGGAACTTGGTGTTAGTCAAGCAACGGTCTCTCGGACTGTGGATAGAGTTGCACAGTCGAACGAATGGATCAAGTTTTTAACTACCAACCATGAACTGATGGAGGCCAAGCGGATATGGCAGAGCATGTATAAATTTCCGACAGCAATTGGTGTAATTGATTGTACACATATAGGAATCCTGAAACCAAATCGCCATGGGGATGAGTATATCAACCGAAAAGGGAAACCTACTTAAAATATGCAAGCCACTTGTGATGCCAGAGAGATGTTCACAAGTTTTGATCTCAGTTGGCCTGGATCAGTGCATGATTCCAGAATATGGAAAAATTCACAGGCTAGATCACAACTAATAAATAAAGCAAATGTTGTACTACTTGGCAATGACGGTTATGGTATTGAGCCATGCCTTATGACTCCCTTCAGAAATCCTACTCCAGGTGCAGAAATAAACTATAATAAGCTCTTAAAACAAGAAAGATTTTTAACGCTGTTCCGGCCAACTGAAACGCCGGTTTCCGATCCTACAGTATGTTTGCCGCATAAAGTTGGATAATGTGCCGAAAATAATTATTGCTTGAATAGTTGAACAAGACCCAGATGAAGATGAAGGAAATCATGAGAATGACGAACTTCCTCTCCGCCAACTAGGTCAACAAATAAGCAGAAACATGAGTATTATAATAAATAGTTTTACTGATTAAAGTATATTTATAAGTTACAACTTTCTTTCCCAATCTAACAATTTAATTGCTTTATTACCAGTTTTTTTCTTCAATTTTGATTTCATGTTGTTGATTTTTTTTTAATAAGCCCTCACTATCTAATGGTTTACCGAATGTTGATTCGTATTTTTTCAACATCCTCTTCAAGGCATCGTCCTTTCTCATTTTTATTTTTGGAACTTTTGCAAAATAATGGGAGCAATGGCAATTTCATCTGCGATGAACTGCAGGGCGTTGCCATTATTTTCTATAGTTTCCTCATCACTTGAGGATGGCATGTTTATTAATTTGATAAAAAACTGTATCCGGTAAAAAGACGGAACGGTCTGTGTAAGCTCTGGAGTACAACTGTCAGTGATGCTGAGTGAACGAACTCCTACGTCAACTACAAGCTGGAACAAATCAGGACATGTCGCTCAAGATACAAATACCAGTCAACCTTTTACTTCTTCTAGGAGGATATCCTCGCGAGTATAAGGTAATCGTTATGAATATGAAAACAAGGATATGCTTATAATTGTACCTTTTTCGCGGAAGCAAGACCTTATACTTTTACCTTATGATTCCGAGGATATGCTTCTCTTTTATGAATACGGCCCATAGACTCACCAAAGTTTACTCTAATAATAATGTACAGGATATTGTTGATAGGGCTTTGATAGTTTTCCTAGAATGCTTTGATACATTTTTGAAAGACACACTGCTTCTTTAGATTTCGATGTGCACTTTTTACATATTTACATTGGTACATATTTGATCACTGTGGCTCCATACTGAAATAAAAATGCCGATCAAAAAAAAATTTCGCCATGTTTCGACAATATTTTCAAAAATATTACCAAATAAAGAAACTATGACATGACAAATTAAACTAGGGAAATCTCCTTCAACGTACATACTAATATTGTTTATCAGTTGAATGGTTCAGACGTTCGAACGCCGCAAAGTTTATACACAAAAATTATCATTTCCAATTTTTTGTAGAAATATCCAGCTCCTTAGTTATTCCAACAATGTCAAGAATTCATTTTTTGCGCTTACAATACTCTCCTCGCTTGTTGGTGTGGGAACGTAATGAAGATCAGGTTTAGTGATACCAACTCAAAACTAATGAATCACCTGGTATTACTTTGGGTCCGCTGGCGTTTAGTCGCAATTTATAGATATGTCTGAAATTTTTATCTGTTCAAGACATTCTGTTGACAATTTTTCTTAAGTTTGAATCAAGACAAAATGAGGAACCGTAAGCATTACCTCAACATTTGAAATAATCAGCCATATCGTTTTTGAAACGTTTGGGTCTAAACTAGATAAATTCGTGTTTCCCGTCGCGTCGTATTGATATTTTTCTATGTCATTCCATTTTATAAGGCAAAACTATTGATGGTACGTATAAACACTGAAAAATATATGAGGTGTGCTCAAAAAATCATCCAGCTTATATCAAATTTAAATTAATATCCTTCAAAGTACTCTCGCTTGCGATGGATGGTGTCAAAATGCCTTCCTTTCAGCACGATTTTCATTTTTGGGAAGAAATCGTTGACCTATTTTTCGGATCTCTTTCTCATTGTCTCCCAAACGTAATATACCTTTGAAATATTAGGAGTTTACAGTCATTCCCCATGAAACCAACTGTGATCGCACTATGTCTTCACTAGAAAAAAACATGTCCTCTTACGGCGAGGAAAGGCACTCGTTTTCCATTTTTCTGTATCGAAACGATCCTTCAATTCCAACCAAACTGACATACGAGTTTCTTTCTGCACCACTCAAGCCTAGCACAAGATTTTTACTTCTTCGGCAAGCTACTAATTCCTACTTGTAATTCCTCATACCACTTAAAAACAGTCTTCGGAGTCACCACATTATTGCCGTACTCTGATTTCAACATTTCATGAGCTTCTTGGCCATGAAATCCGTGATACGTGGCAAATATAGCACAACCTCACTCTGGAAGCTACTAGACAAGTCGCAACTTGTTCAAACGGTCCGCTTAGTGTAGGAGTAGAATTGAACTGCAAACATCGAGCACGGAATTCCATGATGCTAGTGTCGTCCCATTAGTCTGCTGTCAACTCCTAAATTCGCCGGAAAGGTGATTTATCGTCACTCTGAGAATTTTTCGTCAGATCACCATGTAATTCCTTACGTTCGGTCTTTGCGGTCCGTGCATAGTACGGAGCTACAAGCAGTGAAACTGGTGTTACATGAAACCTCAGCATGAGTTCTGGTATCTTGCCTTTGAATGTCTCAAAAGCCTTTGACAAGGTGTGGTGCGCGGGCCTCCTCTATAAGAAAGGAAGTTTCGGATCCTCCTCCTAGGACCAATCCTTCACTTGCTTTTTTTCCACGACGTCTCTTGCCCCAGCAACTGTGAAGTCTACATCTAGTTGACGACACTGCACTTGTTACCCAGCCATGATGGGTTACAGGGTATGGTGGAGGGAATACTAGAGTGAGTGGAACGGTGGAAGTCATCATCACAGATTCGACAGTGACTAAAAGTCCTAAGGACTGCCCAGGTAAACAAATGACGATTACTATAACTTGTTCAAATTTGACACAGACTCTCTCAATGAGACAGACTAGAAAACATATTACTTTAAACGGATTTAGATACAGCAGAATCCAATATAAAAATTAATTCACTGTACTTTTTGATCACACCTCGTAGTCTCATGGAATTAGTTCATTAGGAAAATACGTGGAACGGGAATTGAAGAGCCTTATGAAATCTGAGTCTTTGACATATTGACCCAAGAAAGCTTTAAACGGATTTAGATACAGCAGAATCCAATATAAAAATTAATTCACTGTACTTTTTGATCACACCTCGTAGTCTCATGGAATTAGTTCATTAGGAAAATACGTGGAACGGGAATTGAAGAGCCTTATGAAATCTGAGTCTTTGACATATTGACCCAAGAAAGCTGATATGTTAGCACTTTCTACCAAGGTCCACAGCTGGGAATGAAAACTTCAATAATCTTCGTTGTCACTAAGCGAGTTGTGTGTGGTTGTGTCCGTGAAGCTTTGGGATGAAGAGGTGATGGTTAGGTCAGGTGTTTTGTGAGTAGTTCCACCACGATCCTCCAATGGTCTATTGTGGCTAGAGATGATGGTACTTTTGGAAAAGTTTCCAATTATTTGAAGAATCACTCACGTTAACGATTAACGTCACTCAAACATCCTTTTAATTTATTCATTTCCCAACCAGGGCTTGAAGCATAATCGATCGTTGATCGCATTATAATGCTTTTCCAATGACGAAAATGCTAGCGTGTTTAAAATATTCATTACCGTTTTACGAATTACTGTTCTGAAGGTATCACGAGTAATTCCAGGTTCGTGTTTAGGTGAAACGGTCAATTTTTCTATTAAGTCGTTTAGCGCAATACGTGTCAGCTATAAAGTCACTTGATGGCTTAAGTGATATTAATGTGCTTTTTCTATATTGTTGCATTGTTGTTTTTGTTTTCTTTTAAAATAGCACGCAAAAATTGAGATGAACAATTGCATCATCAAGTGATGACCATGGAATGAAAGTACTGTGAAGGTTCTTATTTCCGAGGCGAAACATGTTTAGGAGTCATTAATAAGCTTCTGAAACTTATCATGTGGTTGGGGTGTTTAAAACTTTCAATAATTTTTGAGTACCTACAATCCCAACCAAGACTCACTTCCAAACAGGTACATATGTTAGATGGTGGATATGATATTAATGTTTCATTGAAATCGACGTCCAAAAAGTCCCATGTTTCTACGTCAAAATGGGTTTCGCGACACACGTAAACTACGTTTGTCACTCAGAAAGCTGACAATTCCACATTTAGTTTATATCCTCTACACATTGCGAAAATGGATCCTACGATTTTATTTCTCGCATTTTATTCATTTTATTTTGTTTTCTTTTTAAACCTATATGTTACTTAAGGGAAGTAGACAAGGATCAGTCGACTGAGTCGGTACCACCCTCTAGCTTTTTCCAGGGTGTCTTAAGAATGTCCGCATGTTTCCACACCTAAGCTACGCAGTCGGGTTTCTTTCCCAACAAAGAAATTAATGATAATGGATCCCTCGGGTACTAGAATTCCGGACGTAAACTCACTCCACTCTCGGAATGTCCGGATGGAGGATAGACTCGAGAGAACAACATCGATGATAAAATTTGTTTCACGAACATCTGCGGGACTAACAGCAACCTTGATGCTGTACATCACGACCGTCCCACCATGCTCTTCTTGGCAGAGACAAAAATCTTAGAGACTGCACCGATTAATCATCTTAGCTTCCCAAATTACGAGGTGTTCTCCAATCTGAGAAAGAACGGGCGAGTTGTGGCTTTTATCCGCTGCAGTCTTTCCTCCTCAAGAGACGTTTCTTCGGCATCAGAGCGAAATGACATTTTATGGCTACGCCTCAACTCCAAAACAACCCCCAAATTTATTTGCTGCCTTTATCGTTCTCCCTCGGACAATAACTGTAATGACCTACTTGAATACCTCGCTGTAAAGATCGACTTCCTGAACATCAATCAACCCGCTTCAAAGGTAGTTCTCCTGGATAATTTTAATGCCCATAAGGAGCTTAGGTTGGGCTCAAACAAGACCAATGCAGTTGAAGCGTTCGCTCTTACAGTAGAGCTGACCTAGCATCTCGTCACATGCCAGTAGCCCGCTGGATCTCTTTCTGACCACGCATCCTATCCCTCACAGCACTGCTGACCTGTCCCCCCCCCTGGGTAGCTCAGACCACGGTGCTGAGGAGGTTAGGTTTCGGTCAGAACCCGATGTGGTAGCAGAAACTCGCCCAGGAAGCAATATTTGGCATTACGGACCTGCCGACTGGGAGGGGCTCAGAGATTTCTTCTCTACCTTTCCTTGGCGAGATGTTTGTTTCACTGATGCAGATGCGTCGCCTGTCTGTTCTTCGATAACCGAAATTATCCACGTCGGGATGGAGGAATACATCCCTCATTCAGTGAAAGCGCTTAAATCAGGGTCCAATGGCCGGTTCAACAAATCATGCGACCACTGCTCGCCAGCAGAAGATCAAGGTACACAGGACCTTTTTATAAAACCCCACTGTAGAGAACAGACAAGTACAAGTATAACAAAGCTGTCCGCAGTGCCAAAGACCAGCACGATATAGAAGTTAGGCACAGGGTATTGTCGCAGCGCAATGTCAATCGGTCTTTCTAGACGCTGGCCAAGCAGATTGAAAGAAACTTCCAACAGAATAAGCTTCCACCACTTACGTGTCAGGATGGGAAGATTGTAACCGAGGCCAAGGTGGAAATGCTTGCCAAGATCTTTGATGCCAACTCCACCATGGAAGTCCTCCCCAACGCCCAGGTGCCGTCGATTCGAAGGATTTGCGGGAAGTAACATTCAGGTATAAAACCAAAAGAAAGTTTCTGGTCTGGACTTGATTCCTGCCGTTCTGTTGTAGAGGTGTGTAGCGGAGCTTGCTCCAGTTCTTTCGCGTTTCTTCCAGATATCTTACGAATCCGGCACCTTTCCAGAAAACTGGAAATTCGCTCATGCCCAGCCCATCCCAAGAAAGGGATCTAAGACCGAGCCTTACAACTGCAGGTAACGAACGTCACGGCTTGATTAGCGACAGGCAATATGGCTTCTACCACCAGCGATCCACAGGGGACCTGCGAGCTTATATCACATAATTGCGGTGTGTCCAGTCTTATGGTGAGGCTCATGTCGTTGTTCTTGACATCACGAAATCGTTCGATCAACTGTGGCACGCTGCGCTCTTATGCAAAGCTTTGCAGATAGGTGGCTGACTTTCTCTCCGGCCGCAAGATATCTATCGTAATTGACGGGTTCTCCTCTTTTACCCACAACGTCAACGCGGGTGTTCCCCTGGGCATCGGTCTTAGCTCCGACACTTCCTCATACATATCAACGACCTCCTTTCC